AACCTGTGAGGAATGTTCATACTCAAGAAGGTGAGGGGCAAGATTTCACACTTTCCTGCTGGTATGTTTGTTCAATCACTGGACTCTGATGATTCTAGTGAGAATTAGTAGGTAAGTTACTAGATAAGTAACTAGAGAAACAGGAATAGAACACTGTGGAGTAACCTTTATTTTCAACCTCATTCATACTGAAGAATTGATCAACTTCTTGGAATCTAAACCTCTGTTGCCACCTAGTGTTGACAATTTCTCAGCTTTAAAGATAAAATGTTCAGGAAGCTCCTTGGCTCCAAGAATTACACCTTCTCCTCTAGCCATCTTTATCTCCAGATTTCCAGCTCTATGAAAGCCTTTTGGGAGGAAAACAAGACAGAATAATATTGTCTATTTGCATTGCACAAATGTTCAAATTCTGTTATATCAAATGTGCCCAAAATGTTTACAGAAGGAAGAGAGTTTGATTCCTGTAAGATACAGACTGGCCCAAGCCTTTCGAAGCCAGCAAGCCCATTAGTTACTGGGATATTTTCCAATGGCAGAGAATCCCCACTGATATTGGACACCAATGTTGATCTTCTGTCTTTTTTCCATAGCTGGTTTCCATTAGGGCAAGAAAAAAAAAAACATAGAGATGGTATTGAGGGGTGCTCTCTCATCAATGATTTTAAATTAAGAAAGCAGAAGAAAGGGCCTGGCCCCAGGCCCCAAACAGATCTACTTCTGGTTTGGGCACAAAAGTGAGCAGGTGATGAGCAGTGTTGGCTGTGACAACTTCTTCTAGTTTGCCCTTCATTCTTGAAGGATAATTTTGCTGGGTATATAATTCTGGGTTGACAGTTCTCTTCTTTCAACTCTTGAAAAATGCCCACTGTTTTTCAAGCTTCCATAGTTTCAAATGAGAAATTTGTTGCCATTTGAATTGGTGTCCCCCTATTCCCCAGAGCATGTGTGGTTTCTTTCTGGTGCTTTCAAGATTTTTCCTTTGTCTTTAGTTTTCAGAAGTTTGACTATCATGTGTCTTGATATGGATTTCTTTGGGTTTACCTTATTTGGATAAAATAATAAATTTAAACTTAAAATCAATCAATCTCAACTAGCTGAATCAGTAGATTTATGCTCTTCACTACATTTGGGGAATTTCTGGCCACTATTTGTTTGAATACTATTTTCACTCCCTCTCCTTTCCATCCCCTTTTGGGACTCTGATTGTATCAATATGTGTATATTCTGTTATTGTCCCTAAGGCTCTGATCCCTTTTTTCTCCCCAGTCAACATTTTCTCTGTTCAGATTGGGCAAATTCATCCTCAACTTCACTGATTCTATTCTCGGTCATTTCCACTCTACTCATGGCTTCACCCAGCAAGTTTTAAAATGTTACTGTATTTTCAGTTCCATAATTCCAGTTGGCTAATTTTTTGTAACTTCTCTTTCTTTGCTGAGATTTTCTATATTTCTTTTCAAGTGAATTTGTAAGTGGTTATGGAAGCTGTTTCATTATGATTGCTTTAAAATCTTTGTCAAATGATTCTATCATTTATTTGTCTGTGTTAGCATCTATTGTCTTTTCTCATTCAATTTGCGATCATCCTGGTTGTTGGCATGACAGGTGATTTTGCAATTATCCTGGACATTCAGCTATTATGTTTGGAGGCTCTGGGTCCTATTTAATGTATTTTAGCAAGCAATCACCTTGTTTAGGTTTAACCTTTGTAAATAAGCCTGGCCCAGTTTTGTGGGCTGTGGTTCCAATGACAATTTAACTTTCAGAGCTTTTGTGGTGTTGTCTGGTATGCTTAATTTCTCTGGTGCCACTGGGGCTCCCCTGGTCCCTGCTGGTGCCGCTTGAGAGGGCCAGAGAGGCTTCCTGAGCTGGGCACTTGTTATTTTGCTGTCAGTGCCCCCAACCACTGGGTATCTCAGTGGGGAAGTGCTCTCGGTCACCAGGTGTCTTTCAGTGAGGAAGAGCCTCAGACCCAGAGGGAAGAGAAAGCACCTCCCCGGCTGCTGAGCTAACCTGGGTCTGCCCAGCTGCTTGGTGTCCATGAATGCCCCTTGGTGGGGCTGCCTGGCTCACCTACCATTGGGGGGCCCTCATTCCAGCTGGACTGCCTTCTACTGCTAGGTTGGGGACTGGGAAATGCTGGGTGCAGGTCTCTTTCTTCTTCTGGGTGGGGGTTGTAAAATGTCCTCCCTCTATGTCATGCTTCCAGCCCTGGTGTCCCTCATCAGTTCACCTTCCTTTTTCCACCTTTCAGAGCTCTCTGGTTGTCTCTTGCATTATTTTTAGAGTTAACAGTTGTACTTTGCAGGGAGAAACAAGCCTACCCCCCATCCTGTCCAGACCACCAGTCCTGACACACTACTTTATCTGTTTCTCTATTTCCCAGGGTAGTGCTGCTATAAATGGAAATTTCTTTCACTTTACACCTATTACTGGAGGGATGTTGTAAGGCATTTTCAAGTGAGGAAGGCTAACTGCAGTGTAAAGCATATGATATAACCACATTTTTTCTAGAAAAAATTCCTTCTAATGATGGTTTGCACATTTGTATGAGAAAAAAGTGTTTACAGATAAACACAGGCTGTTGACACTGGTTGCTGGGGAGACAGTAAGATTATTCATTGTATCTGTTTCCATGTATTGTTCCACTGATTGCAGTGAAAACCTTTTTTGTTTTTGAAGAATTTCACAAAATAATTTTCAAAAGTCAATTTTGCAAACTGGAAACAACCCAAATGTCCTTCAACAGGTGAATGGATAAACACCCTGTGGTCCATCCACCCCATGAAATAGGCTTGGCAATAAAAAGGGACAAGCTATTGATAGACACAGCAACTGGGCTGAATCTGGAGGGAATCACAATAACTGAAAAATCCAACCTCAAAAAGTTATACACTATATGATCCATTTACAGAACATTCTTGAAATGACACAATCATAGTGCTGGAAAACAGATCAATAGTTGACAGGAGCTCAGGGAGGTGGTGTGGGGGGTAGGGGAGATGACTGGGTACAGCAGGGCAACACAAGGAATCTCTGTCCTGCATCTTGACTGTGGTAGGAGTGGATACACATGATATAACTGCAAAGAACACACACACACACACACACACACGTGTGTGTGTATGCAAAACGAGTGAATAAGGTTGACGGATAGAACCAAAGTCAGTTTCCTGGTTGTGGTATTTACTACAAGTACGACAAGACGTTACAACAGGGAGAAACTATTATTTCTTACAACTAACTGCATGTGAATCTACAATGACCTAAAAATAAAAAGCTTAAAAGAACAAATCCTGGCACAGGAAGACAGTGGAGCAGTGAAGTATAAGCTAACCGTGCTTTTTCTTAACTACAGCTGCTCTCACCCTGGAAGCAGCTCTGAGGCCTGAAGAGATGGTTTTCATCTCTTTTTGTCTTTATGTCTGTCTTCCCACTGTCGCCACTTGAATAAAGGCACAGAAATGGACTCCTAACCAGTGTCCTTTTCCAGTCTCTCCACCTCTAGTCTGCCATGGTCAAGTTAAAACCTGACCTGTCACTTCCCATTTAATGCTCTTCAACGGCTCTCCGCTGCCTACAGTAGTTATTTCTGAAGTGACCTCCTCAAACCCGTGGTGTTCCCAATTGATCTGTGATAGTCAAGCCTTCCAGGGGAAAAAGGAAAAATAATTTGGTGTATTATTTTTTCTCAAGCTTAACACATAATATTAACTATGATTTTAATAATGATCTCTTCTTAACTAGCATGTTCTTAATCATATCCTCGAAGATAGCACATGCACATATAAACACTTCCAGTCATTTCATCTTATGTATCAAATGAGTATGTTGTTTATTAATTTGCATTTTCATTATTACTAGTGTATAGCATGTCTCCGGTCTACAAAAATGGATTGATGAGTCAGAAAGGCTCACTGAAAATAGAAAGTGATAAAAGTAGCAACCAGTGGCTAGAATACGTTGTAGATGTAAACAAGGAACTGGACTTCAGAGAAAACATAGAATAAGACTCCATGCATTGGGACAGTCGAATCTTTAAGTGTAACCTTGTGGAGTGTGTAACTGAATTATTTCTGGAAGGCTTGACTATCACAGACCAATTGGGAACGCTGGCATCTGACCTCAGATCAGTGCCCCAGACTAAATCTGCTCTCACCACACAGGATCTAGGTTTTCCTTATTCTGTGGCATTCTGAATTTACATTGTGATCCATTATACACGTGCGGGAGTGTGTGCACATACCCTCCATAAACAAGTTACACAAAACAGTATTTACCCTAACAACATATGGTCCGTGTGATCCTTCTCTTCTGCTCTATTTCACTTTTTTTAATGCTGGTTTTTATCCACTAACTTGGTTTCACAATCCATTAATGGGTCCTGATCTGTAGTTTAAAACATAGTGATGTCTAACACATTTTGAGACATGCAGTTTTATTTCTTAATCACTTGGAATTATAAAATTCTAAGAAACAATGATTTCAGTAGAAGTATCAGAAAGATTTATCTGGCACATACAAAATGTGAAGAGTTGAAAAGCGTTCTGAAGGACTGGTGGACATCTGAGTCATGCCACTTGGAACACAGATAAGCACAGGGTGGAGTCTGCGAGGGGGCCCGCGTGAGCAGGGAAAGGAACTTACCGGAACTCAGCCATCCTGCCCAGGGGCAACAGGACACTTCAATGTCAATGCTGTGAGGCCGCCTCATTTTCCTTCTGCTAAATGAAATGACTAAAAGACTCTCTGGCTGGGAAACTTTAAATGTCAAGTTCTATTTTTTCCTGTCTGTCAGATGACAAACTTAAATGGGCATTTCCTTTGAAAATTTGATCACCACTTTTGGTCCTATTCTGAATATTAACTTTAGTCAGAAATAGGGTAAAAAACAACTTAAACATTCAACTTCCTCTTCTTTTTTTTACCCCAATTACCTGAATTTTATTAGCCAAAGGAGAGCAGCTTGAAGAGAAATAACAGACAAAAAAGACATCTTCAGAATCCTTAAGTACATCATATATTTTTGATTTAAGGGTATTTTCATTAAATGTACCAACTTAAGCCACAGCCCGCTTGTCGACTAAAATAATGTCCGTGATCCTTTGGCTCAGGAGACAGTCCTCTGCATCTGACCTCAGTCTCTGTGATGGCATCAGAAAGGATGCTTTTCAGTGGTTCAAGGTCAACATTAACATCTTAAAGGTAAACAGGGCTGGGAGGCAGGTGTTTTGTTTTTCTTCAAGAGAACACCCACCTGGCAACGTGGCTCTGCACATCTGCCCTCCTCCTCCTCCAGGGACGTCATGTCACCAACTGCTGAATGGAAGGGAGCAAAGGCCCACGAACAGCGGGTGCAATGGCAATCTTTGGTGGACACACCGCAGGCTGGCTGTAGACAGGTCCTGGAGCCCATCCCCTGGCAGACAGCTTGTCACCCAGCATTTATGGGTCCTCTGGAATTTCCAACACCCCCGCGGTCCACAAATTCAGAAAGTGCTTTCAAGCAGGCAGTGGCACCCACACCCAGTGGGACACACCTCCTGGGTCCGAAACCACTCCATCATGTGGCTGGTGTGGCCGCCATGCCCGCAGGTCAGGCAGAAATTGGATGATCCTCGCACTGCCACATGGCAGACGGCGCACTGAAAGGTGAAGGCTTTGCAGACGGCGCACTGGGTGCCACGCACCTCGCTCCGGCAGTGGCTGCAGTACACGCCGAACTCTGGAAATGATGGGGAATGGCCAAACAAGACACACGAGGTTTAGTTCTGCAAAGGCACCTGGGCATTGCGAGGTGGGCAAGTCGTACTCACCTTGGGATTCTAGAGGAGTCTATCACACCTATTAACGATTTTCAATAACAACGAAAATAACTCAGCAGAGGCCCTGCTCTAGTCCTGGTGAGTCTCATGAAGGGAAGCTGCTGTCACTGCAGTGGCCACGAAGAGGGCGCAGTGGGTGCCTGGCTCTTGAGGCCCCGGGTGAAAGCCCCAGTGGGTGTCTGCCTCTTGCACCAACAGCTGTGGGGCCTGACACCCGGAAGGTGGCTCACTGAGAGAATGCAAAGAGCTGCCTGGTCTTATGATCTCTTCCCTACGTGCCCGCTGACGCCCAGGAGCATCAGGGGAGTGGGTCAGGACCCGGCGCTGCTGCACCTGGCTCCCAGCCTCCGGGAAGAGGGCCGCCATCCGCACTCACTAGTCTGCCTCAGTCCCACCAGAGGCCACGTGGCCCAGGTGACCGCCAGCTCCCCACCTAATTTCTGCTGCCTTGCAGGCCTCTCAAGGGAAGGTTGTTTCTGACCTGTCCTGAGGACCGCAGGGGCAGGAGGGCGGGCACTGTGCCTGTATCTGCCTCCAGACCCTTCCCTTTCCTCTAGAGGCTAACGCCATCTGGCTTCATTCTCCTTTCCTCTTTTTCTGTGCCTTCATCTCATTCACCAAATACTTCTGTTCTCAGGTCTCGATCCTCTACTCCAATTCTTGGCACAGCCCGTGGTGCCTTCCAAATTCACACCACCAGCCTCTGCACACCTGCCTCCCAGCTCCCTATCCTCTCACCTCTAACTTACCACCTTTTTATTATTAAAATTATAAAAATGTCACTGTTATTCTGCCCATCAGCCCCTTTCTGGTGGTAATTCCCCCTTGGTCAACCTGACACATGGACCAAATGCATGACCACTATTTTGCAAATACCTCAACCCCTGGGCCTGGTGTCAGCTGGCAAAGACCTTAGCCCAGGATGAACCCGTCACTTGCTTAACCCATGTCTGTCCCCAGCATCTGACTCTTTCTCCTCCCCTCCCATGATGGCTACTATATACCCCTTCCCACATGCCCTGCTCCCCCTTCTGTCACTTCCCTGAGGAAATAGAAGGCTTGGAGCAGGCCTGCTCATCTCTGCACCATCCCATCTTCAAACCCCCCCAGGTCTGCTCTTCTGATTTCCCCTCTTACAACAGAGAAGGGTCCTTTCTCTACCAGAGCCAGTTCTTCTGCTTCATAACAACTGGTAGTCATAAAAATGGACTAATAAAGACTTTTTAAATACATGGTAACTAAGGAAAACATTTTCTGCCAGTCCTAGTTAAGGCAAATGCTGAGACAAAGTAGACTGGTTTGATCATTTTGGTTTAAAAACAGCTGTCTTCTCTAAGCATAACTTTTTATATTATATGAGACTTTGGTTTATGTTCTCATGAAAAGCCTAATTCATTTAAATTTCTTAAATTTACTGGTTTTATTGGTTCAATGAGATTCAACATTTAAAATGATCAAAAGGCAAAAATTGTGTGTTAAGTAAACTGAATTACAACATGTCTTTTAAAACACATTGTTCTTTGACACTTGAGATAACTGTAAATGTAAGCATAATTATTCTCTGTATCTATCTAGGAAAATTATTAAGATGTCATCTCTGAAAAACTCAATATATCATTAGTAATTGTGTTTCTCTACAGTGTATCAGTGTAAACATAATTTCTAAAATCCTTATTAACTTTAGGACCTTGAATTAATATTTCATTTTGTTAACTGATGAACAATCTTTGGGGAGATGGACAATTTCTAAGTGGATAAAAATTCACAAAGACAACAAGTCACTAAGCACGATTTTAATATTTCTCTCTTGCTTCTTAACTGTTCTGCATAATGGAATGTCCATTAGTTAACAGTTGAGAAGGACACGCAGACACAGTTGGGCCACAATGGTGTACATGCTAACTTTCGCCACTTTGGGAGATACAAAGGGGTGTGGACTGTGTTCAAAATCACAAAGCTGTCAAGATACCTTATACGAACACTGACAAACTTGGGAATCTCAGGGAAGGAGGCACACAGCTGCAGGTAGCGGCCCTGCAGGTGAAACCTGGTACAGGCAAAGTGGATCATTCTTGTTCCTAACAAACTAATAAGGACAATAAAAATACTTCTGGCAAATAAATGATCAAATGATGATTCCCAAATCCTCCAGGTGGAAGCGAACTCCAAAGGTTTAGTGTCATATGGCTCTAGTCTGTTAACCACACAGAGGAGCTGTGTGTATTAACATCACCTATTCACAAATGTAAATAAAATAAGCCAAATAAAAAAAACACTCAATTAATAAACTTGTTAATAAGGTGTATGCAATTACTTGACCCTTTGATCTGAAGCAGAAAATTGCTGAACAAAATTTAGGTGAGCCGATGCGCACTTCTGGGGTGGGGCTTGGAGGGCGGGGCTGATGAGGCAAAGTGATTACCTGGCCCTGCCACCTTATGGCCAAGTGCCACATGCCACAATGGAAAACAAACAAAAATCATCTACCATCCGGAGACGTTTTTAAAGAATACTGTGTCTACCACTATTTCCTCAAAATAAATGAAGGCTTGAGCCCCTTCTACAAATCTACAAATCTAACCCCCTAAATAAAGACAATTTTATCTCTCAAATTCATTCCTGATACAGGATGACCTTTACAGGCATGAAAAGCCTGAGAGGAAAATGCTGGTTTCTCACCAAGGAGACCACTATAGCCTCGGAGAACATAAATCAAAGTCTCATATAATATAAAAAGTTATGCTTAGAGAAGACAGCTGTTTTTAAACCAAAATGATCAAACCAGTCTACACATACACCGAGGAGACCACTGTAGCCTTGGCAACCTTGTCATATTTTTTTTTCAATACCCGCTGTTGCCTGTTCTTGGGCAGGCCAAGTCTTCCAAAATAAAGCCTTTATAAATGAAAACACTTCCTGTTTTTGTCTGTGAGTCTACCTTTCACACTCCCTCGCCCTTTCGGACATCTTGTATATCGTTTGTAATGGTATTAGGATATATAATTCACTCTTGAGAATTACTTATGTTGTCATGAGTTTATTTCTCTGACTGGATTATAGACTTAACACAAACATCTTCAAACCACACCTTCTATTTCTTTGTACGGCCAACAGAACCTGGCAAGCTGCATTATACCAGCAGAAGTCGGTAAGAGTTTAGATTGATAAGACTGATGGATTGATACATCAGGTACCTACCTCTGTGATTCATTATTTTCCCTGAAACTATTTTAAAAGACAAATTGCTCCAGGCCATCATGAATCTCTCCCTGAAATACTTCCATGTGTTTAGATGCCCTGAAAACTATATTGCCCAAATAGCATTTTGTGTCTTTGCCTTTCTTCAAGTACACACACCAAAATAATCCATATTAAAATAATTTGTTATTCAGTATCTCAATGTATTACTTTTTTTCAGATTGAAACTATATATATACAGATCAAAGGGTCAAGTAATTGCATACACCTTATTAACAAAACCTGCATTCCCATCCATCCCCTCATGCCCAACACTCCTCAGAGGAAATATGTCCAACTCATTTAACTATTTTTAAAAATTTTCTTCCCTCTCTATAACAACATGTTTATAAATATATTTCTTAATTTTCACAAGTAAGCATCAGCTATTGATTTCCCACAGTGGACGACCCTTCACGCCTCAATCCCCCAACCACGCACATCCACACCTGTCCCCAGTCACACACATACCTGTCCTGCGCCTTCCCCACACTGTTCCGTTATTCTTTGGTTGGATCAGTATTGTTACTACACTATTTGTCTAGGTAAACATTATTCCAGCCAAGCCATGTACTATGGCGACTTTTCCTTTCTTGCCCATTTCGTTTTCCTAGAGTTAGTAGCTATCTTACTTTCTCCATTTGCTTAGTTTGCTATTTACTTATCAATAATTCACCTCCAAACGCTCACTCAAATAACTGAATCTTCTATAAATACACTGAATGCTGAGAAACACTAGGTATTTTCTCAATTTTCTCTTCCTGAAGACAACGCTCCTGAAGCTATGGCCTGGACCGGTCTGTCTCCAGGTCTGCCTCGTAGATGTCCACCTCCATTCCGACTCCCTGGTTTTCTGGACTGAACCTATACTTCCTCCTCAGATAGGCTGAAGGTTTACTTTCACACTTGGTTGATAATTTGGGTGCAGAAGTCTAGGTTAGAAACCACTTTCTGAGGATGTGAAGGCTCTGCTGCACTGCCAGGAGTTCACTGCTCCTGAGAAGCGTGACACCGTGCATATACACCTCATCCTCTGCATGTGACCTGCTCTCTCCCTCTGGAAGCCCCCAGTCTTCTCTTCATCCCTGGGTCTTCCTTCATTCACCCTGCTAGGTGCGTGGGGGACCCTCGCAATCTGGAAATGTGTTTAGCTTCTCTGGAGCATGAACTTCGGTTGTCTGTTGCAGTACAAGGGTAAAAACTTGCTCTGCAAACCAGGAGTGGGGACCTGTGACCCGCAAACAATACTCCTGTTTCATGCCGCTTTCAGAGGTACTGGACACCACTAACCACTGAGCTGTTTCGGGGCCCCACCGTGTGTGTGAGCTCTTCTGCCCGCCACTTCGAGGCCCAGCTTTCTCAGGCCTGTAAAAACCAGCTCCCACCAGGTCCCAAATTCTATTGCCAACATTACTTCTCTGGCACAGTCATGCCTTTGCAGAAAAGGTCTATCTAGGCACTTTGGAGGGCCTGGGGAAAGAGGAAGCCAAGGTGTGTGCAGTCCACCGTCCTGGGCAGTCTTCTACAGCATCCTTTAAAAGATCCCTTCTCTTAGCTTCTTTTTTATTACAGTCTTGCTTTTCCTCAAAACTCACTGGGATCTCATGTTAAGTCTGCTTCTGGTTCTTGCTTCAAGACTCAAGCTGCACGTGCTTGTTTCTCCCAAGGCCCAGAGTGGGTGGGCTCTCGTACGTGCTCTCCCTGTGTCCCTCCTCCCAGGCCTCAGGCCCAGGGAAAGGCACCCACCTCACAGTTTCAACACCACAATATGCTGAGGAGCCTCGAACTCCTGGCTGTGGCCCCAATCTCCCCTCTGAGCGCTGGCTCACACTGGCGGCCGACATGACTTCCACAGTCTGGTAACACACATCTCTGACTCGACCAAGCCCAGTGCTCAATTTTCTTTCAGTCTTCGCTCTCTTAGTATATGGCCCCACCTTCTACCCTGCTGCTCAGACTGGAAACCTAGGAGTCATCCAAACTTGGCCTAGTTCTCTCAATCCCACAGCCAATTTTTCTGTAAGTCACATCACACTGAGTCTACCTCTAAAACATACTTTGAACCCACCATCTCTCTCCACCTCCTTTCATGTCACCCTGGATGAGGCTGTCAACTCCCTAACAGTCGTCAGGCCCTGTTCCCACTATTACTCCTGCCCCCCGACAACCCTTTCTTCACAGAGCAGCCAAAGTGATGATACTCTTCACATGGAAAACAGAGCATGTCACCTACTTAATGCCCTTTAAAGCTACCACTGGACTCCGAATAGAACCGAAATTCTTTACCACCACTTGCAAGCCTTTGATTATCCTACAGTCTAATTTATACCACTCCTCTCGCTGCTTTCTGCACGGATGGCTTCTTCTCACTGTTCAGATTTCAGCTCTTTACAGAGGCCTTCCCAATGTACCTCAACTCATCACCTTAAATTCTGCCTCCCTTCTTTCCCTGCTCCAACATCTTTCTTGTTTGCTCATAAATTTTTATCACAGTTTAGAATTATTTCATTTTTTATCCCCATTAGTCTGTGAGTTTCACAAGGGAAAGGAATGTGCCAGCTCTGTACCTCAGAGGAGCTTGATATATATTAGTTGAATAAATGAATAAAAATGGGTATCAAGTACTATATATAAAACCTCTTCTACCACAATTTGAGTGGCCAAGAGGCACATGAAAAAGTGCTCCACATCACTAGTCATCAGGGAAATGCAAAACCACAGTGAGATATCACCTCACACCAGTTAGGATGGCCAACATCCAACAAACAAGAAACAACAAATGCTGGCGAGGATGTGGAGAAAGGGGAACCCTCCTATACTGCTGGTGGGAATGTAAATTAGTTCAACCATTGTGGAAAGCAGTATGGAGGCTCCTCAAAAAACTAAAAATAGAAATACTATTTGACCCAATAATTCTACTCCTAGGAATTTACCCTAAGAATGCAGGATCCTAGTTTCAAAAAGACATATGCACCCCTATGTTTATTGCAGCACTATTTACAATAGCCAAGATATGGAAGCAACCTAAGTGCCCATCAGTAGATGAATGGATAAAGAAGATGTGGTACATATACACAATGGAGTATTATTCAGCCATAAAAAGAAAACAAATCCTACCAATTGCAACAACATGGATGGAGCTGGAGAGTATTACGCTCAGTGAAATAAGCCAGGCAGAGAAAGACAAGTGCCAAATGATTTCACTCATCTGTGGAGTATAAGAACAAAGCAAAACTGAAAGACCAAAGCAGCAGCAGACTCACAGACTCCAGGAAGAGACTAGCAGTTACCAAAGGGAAGGGGTAGGGGAGGGGCAAGGGGATGAAGGGGCATTATAATTAGCACTCATAATATAGGTGGGCCACAGAGAAGACAAGTAATGACTCTATAGCATCTTACTACACTGGTTGACAGTGATTGCAATGCGGGGGTGAGAACTTGGTAATATGGGTGAATGTTGAAACCACAATGTTGTTCATGTAAACCTTTGTAAGATTGTGTATCAGTAATATTTTAATAAATAAATAAATACATAAATAACAAAAAAAGTCTTCTGCTACAATAGAAATTTTATCTTTTCATGAAATGCAAGGGTTTTCAGAGGCAGAGAATAAACTCAAAATACTTCAGAAATTTCTGCTTATAAATGAGAAGTTTAAACTTCATTCTAAGTCTTATGGGCAAATTAAATAACAGGACATTTCAGATAGTGACAGGAAAAGAAAGAAATTCATATTCTCACCGATCCCTTTGTGAGGGTCTGGAGGACAGGAGACAAACTTGAGCACTTCTGCGCGTTTCTCTCTCAAGCCCCAGCGATAGAGGATCTCTCCGTAGCATTTCTTAAAGTCATCAAATTGCTGGGTATTGGCAGGGTCTAAAAGCCTAAATAAAATTCCAAAGATTTCCTGTCAGTTCCTTTAAGAAAAAACAAGCTTGACTCTAAATGGCACGTACTGTACCTTTCTTAAAGCAAGAGCCCTGATTTGGGAGACTAAGCGTTATAAACCTGCAGCTCCTGCCCGGGCAGGTGGTTACCTCTTATTTTTATCATGCTGGTCCCGTTCTCGCTCACGAGGATCACTGTAGGTCAGACTCCCAAAGCGGATTTCTTCTGGTGAAGACTCTCCCCAGGGTGAAGACAGATGTTCTGTCTCTCTTCCCGCTGAAGAAAATCAAATGGGAAGGGAAGACAGAAATCAGAGAAAGCCTGGAAAATACCTGAAAACTCTCATAATGCAGTGCATCCAATTTATTCCCTGGAAGAAAACTAACCTCAGTTGAATATCCTGAGAAATATAAATTAAATAGAACTCTTTCCTAGCCCTGCCTTTTGGTCCAGATATTTATTATTAAGGTAACCTGACACTAATTAAGTATACACAGAATGATTAAGCAAATCATGGTATGGTGATATAGCAGAGTATTAGGTGGTCATTATTTCTAAAGCCTTTTTAAAAGAGATGACAAAATGCTCATGAGAAAATTAAAATCACACATACAGAATGACCCCCTCTGCCCCCCACCAGCACACGAAGATTACAAGAAAATATTCCAGAAAGTTAATTTCTGGGTGAGGGATTCAATGATTTTCTTCTCTAATACTTTTTGTTTTGCTTCACTGGGCATGTATTGCTTTAATAATCAAGAAAATTAAGATGACCTTTAAAGAGAAAATTTTAAAATCCAGAGAACACTAATATGCTTAGTCATTAAATAGACATTTATGGCCATCGAGACCCAGGCTCAGCCTTCCCTTCTACACTGGAAGAGGTGACATGGGAAGAAGTGGGTAAGAGGAAGTGGCAGGTGATCATTCAAAGGGAGGAGAGAGGGTTAGGGTTACGTTTATGGGGTGAACACTAACACATCCCACTGCCAGTTTCTCAAGGTTACAAGAAGAAAAGCAACCCAGCAAGGCACAAAGACGTACCGGCAACTGGCCTGTTCAAATACGGAAGTCCAGGCCTTGCTGACTATAGTATCCCCAGTATATTAAATTTAAAGAGAAATGAGGACAAGGAAAATATGGCACATATTCATCCACTAACCATTACATATTAACAACTCACACACAGCTTTGAGAGCTCCATACCTACCTATGTTCCAGCCTCCAGTGTTGAGCCCTGGGTCTGACATGCTTGAGCAGGAGCCAGAGGAAGTGAAACTTGGCTGCAGAGCAACAGGAGAAGCATCAGAGTACCGCTCCCCACGCAGGGTGGCCTGCGGGAAAAGTCAGAGACAAACCAGCAAACCACAAGCTTACGTATCGACTGTGGGACACAACAAGATTGGAGCAACGGCTGGGAAAAGGTCCCAGGGGTCCGAAGGGGTTTGGTATCCCCTGAGGCCGAGACTGGGCTTCAAACACGCTGCAGAGCATAGCCAGTGTCTGGACATCCCGGAGTTGGCAGTAATGGGCCAACCTGGAGAAGATGATGAGAGAGGGGAAGACAGTCAAGAGAAAGGAATGAGGAAAGGTGACCCTCACAACTGGGGCGGGTTGTGCCAGAGACAGGAAGGAGGGTTATTTATTTATTTATTTATTAAGGTATTATTGATATACACTCTTATGAAGGTTTCACATGAAAACAATGTGGTTACTACATTCACCCATATTATCGAGTCCCCTCCCCCAAGCCCCACTGCAGTCACTGTCCATCACTGTAGTAAGATGCCAGAGTCACTACTTGTCTTCTCTGTGCTGCACTGTAAGAAGGAGGGTTCTTGATGCTACTCAAAATCCCTATCAGGAACGGGAGCTTTCTATGGCACCACTGGCTTGAACTACTTTGCGTTAGTGGCTAAGTTTATTTTGGAATTAAATATATTAAGGTATTGCAAATAACCTACATATCCCATCTGAAAGCTTCTGCTTGGCATCCAGGTACAAGTTCAGACCTGAATGCAGCTTCTCCGAGAACTAAGCAGACTGACCCTACATTGAGTGAGGCCATACATGCTCTGTCTCCCTAACTCCAAAAAGGACCACATTGGTTGCTGGCGGGTTCCCAGATCCCTCGTTCATATAATCTACAGCCATGTGCTCAGAGAACCCTGTGCTACCGTGGTATGGTGAGCAGGCACTCCATGAGAAAGTAGGTATAAGCTAATAAATAAGAACAAGGGATAAGTTTGCCTTTTAGGAATTCATATCCCCTTTGCTCCCTTTAGGACCGCTGGGCTAGAACGTGAGGCAGGGATCAGAACTCCTGGCCTTTGTGATGGGGTGTTACTGACACTTATCTACCAAGCAATGGCTAATATTGTTTAAAGTGTTTTACGCTCACGATCTCATTTGACCTTACATGCAGAGGATAGAACAACCATTATCACCCCGTGTTACTGTGAAGCAATGGAAGCATGAGCACATGTCCCATGTCTGGCCTCAACAAGTCAGTAAAGCAAACCTCCACCCAAAGGAATTAGAGCTTCCCTGTCTTCCAGGACTTGGGCCTCACTATATGGAGTTCAAGTGGATTTACAAGGTTGTAAATCATTTTGTATATTGTATTTCCAGCTTGCCGTATTTCAGTGCAATAAATCAAAAACACAAATTCAGTGTTTCCATAAATTGCTTAACAGGGTGAGGGCCTTTAGAAAATGTGAAAGTCAACATGCAATTCTCTATCTGCCGTCAGAGGCAAAACGCTACAGCACTCAGGAGATTTACCATCGTAAGGGTTCAAACTCCTGTGTTCAGCCTGATGTCTGACTTCTGAGCTAAAGCATCAATCTCATCAAACATGAGTTTCAAATCCTTGTTATAAATGATGAATATTGTGAGGTTCCTTCCGATATGAGAAGTTGGTTCTGCACAGAAGTCATTACAGGACTAGAAAGAAAGATGTTATTCCTCAGGCCTCTGCACTTATCCCTTCGATGACAACCCTGAAAGCATTTGCAGGCCTGAAATCTACATCACTCGTGTTCTTCACTTTTAGCTCTCAAAACCTACAGGGACTCCAGCAGCTGTCGCCCAAATGGATGTCGAGCCCAGGGTGTTTCCAAATCTGGGTCGGACTTCGGACCAAGGCAAAGATCTGTGGCTACCGTAGCCAGCGACCAAACCTGGACAGAGCAGAGAAACATACAAACTCAGAGGGGTGAGGACTGGAATGGGAACCCTGTAAGAAGCCCACCCAGTCTCCATATCAAGCCTGAAGTCCTGCCGCTCTGAGGATAGCAAAAGCTGGGAGCTCATTGATATGCAGACTGTTAGGCCCCATTCCCAACCTACTGAACCAGAGTTTGTATTCTAACAAGATTCTCAGGGTACTTGTACGCACTATAATGCTTAAGAAACACTGGTCTTAAATTCTTTCGTTGAGCAAACTTCATAGAAATGACACTGTGCAATAAATTCAATGACTTGTCCATTCAACCACTAACTCATGTGACTTTTTCTGTTTGATTAGTCAGTTAGCAGGAAGAGGAAAAACAGAAACATTCTGTATCACATTTAAGATCTGTTCTTTCCTCCAAATGACGAAAAACTTTGTTGACTTCATTACAAAACTTTCTGTATATTCCCGAAGCTAAGGAAAAATAGGCCAGGACAAAAGAGACTTGGTTTTCTTTTTGTTGACACCAAATCTGAGGAGTATCTCCAAATTTGAAATCTCATGGGGCTTGGAGTCATCAAGCAGAAAATAATGCCTACTGAGTGTCTACTAAATCCAAGATTTAGCACTCGCTAAATACATCATGCCTTCAGTGGAGCCTCTTCCCCTCCAATACCTTTAAACTTGGGAATACTACTTTTAGGAAATCTTTCTCACTAACGACACACCATTGAATGTCCACTAATGGGACAAGGATAGTTGTCTTAGACTCTGTGAGAAACTGGAAAGAAGATACATTTGAATCAAAGAGTTATAGTCTAAGGAAAAAGAATAGCAATAAAAATACTGAGAAACAAGCTAGAGAAACACATCAGGTATGTGAAAAATAAATTAACTTCTGTGATACCAATATACTGGCATGAAACACACAAGTATTAGTTAAAACAAGGAATTTGAGGTTCACATTCATCTCTATAATCCATGACACCCCTGAATGGTTGCTTAAGGTCAATGTCTTCCTGGGACGGGATAGGGTGCTTACTACCCTGGTTGGCAACTTAGCCACGTTACTGCCTCACTTACACCCTTCCTAAATGCCTTCAACAGAAGTAGGTGACACTGAGGATTCTTTCTTTTTTAAATTAATTAATTGATTTTATTAAAATATAGTTGACATATAATGTTATTTTAGTTTCAGGTGCACAACAATAATTTGACAATGATATACATTATGAAATTAAGTAAGTGTAGTGACTGTCTTTGTACAAAGCTGTTACAATATATTGGCTATATTCCCTGTGCTGTACTTTTTGTCCCCATGACTTTTATTTATTTATTTGTTTATTTATTTTTATTGATTATAGTTGATATACAATCTTTTATTAGTTTCAAGTGTACAACACAGTGGTTCACTGACACTGAGGTTTATTTCCGCAGCTCTCTGCAAAATAGGAGACACATCATCTTCAACATGCATAAAAAAAGAACAAAAAAAATTCTTTTGTGCACTTGCACTGATGTTATTTCTGTGCATTAAAGAGTGCCATGGCTCAAATGACAATGATCCCAAGAACAGCAGCATTAATTGCACCACGGACTGGTCACTTACCATCTACCAGAAATAGGTATGGGGATTTTATATACATATATTACCTTATTTCATTTTCAGACAGACTAGAAGTATTGTTCTTTTCTTTATAGTCAAGGAAATTGAGGTTCAGAAAGATTAGGTGTTACAAAAAGGTGACAGAGCCCAGATTTAAAACCAGTTCTGTCTGAACCCAAGGGAAGGGTCTTTCTACTAACATGGACTAGCCTGACCTTCTAAACTAACTGCTGGAAAAATACAGGAAACTGAAAGAAAAAAACTCCTTAGGAAGTAATTTTTTTCAGAGTGTGTTTTTTCAGAATATGAACCTTGGGTCTGCCTTGGTATTGCATTTGCCAGTCTTCTCACCAACCCTATGAGGTCATTATTTTAGGAATTCTCATTTTACAAATATATGCAGAGGCTGAGAGGGTCTGAAATAATTGGCCCAGGGATACCAGTAGGGAGCTGAGTTGGACCCATACTGCTTTCTATGATTAATTCCATACTACTTACTTCATTTTGCTTTCTTAGTGTTCACAGAACTTTAGGTGGCTGGGTCCTTATGGAAATAGATCAGTCAGGGCTCCAAATCTCACTGAAAAGGGTTTAGGGCAGAGACTTGGCAGTGCTTATGAGAGACAAATAGAAATCTTAGGGATTTTTTAATCAGATAAGAATCAAGGGACGCCTTAGCTCTGGGTCACTTGGAAGGTTGTAAACAAAAAACTGAGCTGAAAGGATAATGCTTCTGACTTCCATTGCCTGTAGCTTCCGACCCTCACACTAAATAGAGAAGCCATAGAGAAAGAAAGTACCTTAGTGGTTGCTTGGGACTCGGAGGGGCAGCGGGGAGGAAAGGGGATTGAGAGGAGACAGTAAGGGGTGTGGGGTGTCTTTCCAGGGTAATGGAAATATTCTAAAATTGATTGGTAGGAGCAGCTTGCTTTAATACACATGTTCCTGAAAAGATGAAAGAAAATAAAATTTTTGTAAGGTCACATCGTATTTTAAAACTGAACATGTCTCTGTCTAAAAGACTGCTCTGGTAAACTTTGTAGGAAATGCAGCATTTTTTTGGGGGGTATTATTAATATACAATCACATGAGCAATACTGTGATTACTAGATTCTCCCCATTATCAAGTCCCTACCACATACCCCATTAGTCACTGTCCATCAGCATAGTAAGATGCTATAGAGTCACTACTTGTCTTCTCTGTGATATAGTGCCTTCCCCATGCCACCCCCTACATTATGTGTGCTAATCATAATGCCCCTTATTCCCTTTATCCCTCCCTTCTCACCCACCTGAGACAGGGACCATGGGCTTAGACAGAGTAGG